AAAGTTCAAAATTTATAGCAATACTTCTCCTCGATGGCGAAATATCCTACCAAAGCCATATGATATTACACTTTGTAAAACCTTGAGACATATGATGCTTATTATCATGTTGAGCTTTGTCAAATTGTTGTGACCCTTGAGAGATTCTCGTCATGCACCCATGATCAAGATTCACGTACACCCAGATATAATATGGCAACTCTTACACTCAGAATTATGCAAAAACATGCCATCCATCCACCAAATAAAAAACTCCATTCATATGTCATGACCCTCTCTCAAAAATACTCCTTTGCCAAAGAAAATATGGGCTATGCAAAAAGAAAAAAAATCATGCTAAAAAAAGCGTGAAGAGAAATCCATGCTAAAAAAAGCATGCGAGAAAAAAGACATTTATAATATCCATGCCAGAAAGGCATGAGGAAAAAAAGAAGAAAAGATAGCCCATGTTTTTTAAAATGAAAAAGCAAAGAGGGAGAGAGTCATGAATAAGGAGTCTATACCAAAAAGAGTTTAATTTCCACACACTCAAGGCGACATGGTAGAAGAAAAGATAGCCCATGTTTTCATAGTGGGATAATGATGACTTGGTGTTATAGCCGTTCCACTTCTCAACCGCTCAAGGCGACATGGTAGACAATTCGAAATCCATAGGTATAAGGAATGACATGGAATATCCTTTATGCTAGCATCATATCTTTTTGTAACACCACAGGCGCCACAAAAGCCTAAGATGTCACTAATGTCCCTTCCCTCTTGTCCAAGTATAAAACTCGGCAACAAAAACCAACATCAAAGTAAAACGCAGAAGCAACAACAAGGACAAAACTATAATTAAGTAAAGCTCCAACTTAAATGTTTTTATTAAACCATGAAGGATCACCATGAAGATAAACTAAGTTTATTACATCAAGCCAAGAGTGTCATTATTATGTCTAAGTGTGGGTGAAACACTAAATACGTGCTGCTAATCCCATCCCTTCAAGCAAGCAAAGCATCCAACCAAGCACCTGGAAAGATAAAGGGGTGAGAATAAATCTCAGTAAGCAAACTGCCTGATCATGTAATTTAAACTACAAGTTAATTAGACATCGATTAAAATGTGGAAGATAAGACATCATATAAGACACTAATAATTCATAGTCAAATTATTTATCCACTGACAGCAGCATAAAGGAGTAAACATCATCATGATATTCAATAAATAAACCACCTCTTCAAATAAAAAAACTCCTCATATCCACAACTTCAATGAAAGTAAACCTCCGAGTGTCGATGCACTGCATATGCATGTACACTGCCTTCATACCCAGCAAGGTATGAGGCTAAATCATACCCCTCCTCAGGCAACGTACGATGCTATACCGGTACGGTCACGGCCAGCAAGCGGCGATATCCACGAATGCTATGCAATGCAATATGATGCAACCGCAGAAATACTTACCACATATGCTACATACTTGATTTAGTTACTTTATAAAGGGACAATGAACTCATTCTTATATATTATCTTGATTTAGTTAATGTTAGAAAAATTGTAGGTAGACTAAATAACATGTCAAGCTGTAGCAAACCACCGCTACGTTTACTTGTCTCGAAATGGCGATGCCATAACACGAGCTAAGAGCAATCCAAAGGCGCACCACCTGCACAAACATCATTACCTCAGACAAAATACTCATGCAAACTTACAAATCATACACAAATCACTTCTACGGCCTACACCATCGTTTCTCTCAAAACAACGACCAAACAACCAATCAACAGTAGCAAAATTGCTTCACATTTTTACTGCAGAAAACCACATGAATAAAATATATGAAACTTTGATATGACATACAAAACAGCATGGTCTACAACTTTCATGTCATCACATTTGGAGTTTGAAGATACTAAGATATCCAAAACAAGCCAACAATCTGTCTGAACTTTTCTGACAACAGAAAAACAGCAGCTGACTAAAGCATGCATAACTGGAGATATCATTATCGAAAACTTATGAAGTTTACCAATATGGAAAGCTTATAGAATTTACTACAACTTTCATTTAAATCACTCATCGAGATTCTGAACTTAAGATATCAGAAAACTGAATGCATCTAAACTTACCTAGAAATTTGACTGAACAACTGCTTCAACAAACAACGATCATATCTCCCAAACTACAGGGGCTACGAAGTTGATATTTAGTCCAAAAGAAAGGTATGGAAGTCTGCCAATGAAATATTATTTTTCTATTATATTTGGGCACTTAAAGATATCCTTAAACAGCACATAAACAGCGACTGCACAATCTGAAATAAACATCCGAGCGCAATTTCGAGATTATAACCCTAACCCCATCAGCTAATCGACCGAATACGGTAAACCGTAGCATGTATTTCACATCAAAACAGTGGGGAAACCAAGATCTTACCCCAACCGCAAGTACGACGACGATACACAACGATTGATATCACGTTTTTCCACTTCTTCCTTGCTGTGATCCACACTGTTACTCCTCTCGTCGTCTCAATCTACTCCACCCGTAGCAACACCATCAAGAACAGTGAAGGGAAAGTTGGATCATACCACGACAGCAAGGATGACGAAGACCCGTAGCAATTTTTCCCCGTTTTACCTTCTCCCCTGCAGTGGCCCTCGCCACAACCTCATCTCGTTATCGGGACTATTCCAAACAGGACATCAGCATCATGGGCAGTAAAGGGGAACACGAGAATTGGATCAAGATGGAAAAGAGTAGAGGATTCCTAACTGATTTTGCGGGAGAGACGAGCACAACAACGGCCGACGATGAAGCCCTAGTCCCCTCCTCCCTCTCTTCTCTTTCTCTCCTGCTCCTTTCTTCCATACGTGAAACTGGAGAAGGGCGGCCAGGCTGCTGGGCATGGGATCAGAATACAAAGGGACACCTCCAGAAAAGACATAAGGAAGGAAGACAAACAGGCCAGGACTCTGTCACGCGCAAGGAAAAGGAGCGGGGTTACTGTAGCCTATTTACTGTACATCGAGTTTTCCGTGTCCCTTAACCTTCCAATAGTCGTATCTTGTTGCTTCAAACTCCGAACAACGCGTATAAATAGTCAAACGGAATGAATTCGACTGGCTCTACGCCTCTACGGTCTCTGATTGTCCATCCGAGTGTTGGATAAAAAAATATCTTTCATTAAAACTCCCATTAAAACATTTACCACTTTGCTCTTTCTAACATACAAAACATATTTTGGGGTATTACACTTTGGAAGTCATGCTTCATAGTTACAATTACCTTTGCTTGAGGACGAGCAAAGAATAAGTGCGGGGGGCTTGTTGACGGCTATTAACTCCTATTTTTAGCCACCATCTTTCAAAGAATATCCACTAAAACAACCACCAAACTTAGTATTAGGATTTATAACTAATAAATTACATGAGTTTTGGTGACTGTTCATTTATAGGAGGCCATATCGGGAAAACATGGAAAAAGTAATGAAAATGCGCAAACACACAAAATGTATTCCATCCGCCCAAACATAAGGGGGAAAGAGCCCATAAAGCAAATCCGGTGACCAAAACTAGGCCAAACCCCCGAAGGCACAACCTAGGTCCAGTGGAGAGCCCACCATGTAAACGCAGTCACGGGAAGGCTCCACTAGGGTGCGGCCGCACCACCCCTCTGCGCCTCTCGCCTCCTCCTTCCACGTGGCACTTCCTGGTGAACTCCCCAAGGCGGTTGCAAGCGGACATGCGAGGAATATTCCTCCAAACTGACCTTCTCTATGACTATAAATAGAGGGGAAGAGCTCCTCCTTTCACACACACCATAAGTGCTCTCCTCTCTACCATTTTCCAAAATGTAAAAGTAGCTTAGCCTAGTTGGGAGTTAGGGAGAGATGCTTGAGTTCTGGAGGAGTCCTTGGAGGTTTGGTATCATTTTGTATCGCTGTGGGCGGTGCTTAACTCATATTTCAACCACTAACATTTAAACAAAATAAACAAATTTGAATGCCAAAACTTATTGTTGGTTTTTTTTTACCGGCAGATATTCGGTTCTTGGAGGAATTCGCCTGATGCGAAGAGCAAGCCTAGTAGAGACATAGAATTTATACTAGTTCGGGCCCCCGCCAAGCGAGTAAAAGCCATATGTCTAGTTGCTACTTGTTTGTATTACGATCTCGTCGAATAACTTGATGGCGATTACAAGATGGCTATGCCTATGAGAGTTTTGATGATTACAACAGGGCAGAGAGCTAGCTATTTATATCTAAGGCCTACTTTCCCTACAAGTTACATAGTCTGACCTAGTAGGAGTCTTGGCATGATCTTTAGATATCCTTCCTTGAATAGATGAGTCATGAACCTTCAGGCCTTCTTTTGTACAGATTTGGTAGCTAGCATATCCGGTAGTCGGGAATCCTAGGAGTATGGCACCAATAGTAGCCCTCGAGCTTATCGGCCAAGTGAGACTCGGTAACCTTCCTACACGCGGTCCTTTTCAGGGCGTTCGAAGTTGAGACTTTATCTCAAGAACCCGAGTACGTGCCCATGAGAGAGAGGCTAGTCAGGTTGAAGTTATAGGGTCGCATAGTTGGGAAATGGGCTCTAAAATAAAATAAGCCATACTATGGAGTCATCTTGTCTTGTCAACACGATCTCCATCTAAGTCAGGCGGCGATTGTCAGGCACTCGAGTGGCCACGCCGGTTCGACTTCCGAGGATTACGCGTGGCTTGTGATTATTGCGTCGCTTTGATTCGTGGGTGATGATTGGCTTGCCCTCACAATCACCATGGCCCTGACTTTATAAGCGGGTGTCTGAGTGTTGGATTGGATCCACTTAGCATCTCCACGTATGCAGTCATGAGGACTAAGACCATCGGCCGCTGCCGCAATATCCCTCGCCTATTGCTCGGGGATTCGCCTCGGTAGTCTATGGGGGCCTCGCCTCCTTCATCTCCTTCAGCGTTGTCGTCTCCTGCTCCAGCATTGCATATCGCTTCAGCCGCAACCCCATCGTCAGCCATGGCACCCTCACAAGAAGAGTCCACGATCATGAAGAAGGGGGAAGGAGAGGTCGCAGCGAGCATTGAGGAGGTCACTGCCACAGCCTCATGGGAGCCAGAGTCCAACGCGCCACCAGAGGGTGTCATCGGGCTTTCTAATGATGAGTCAGAGGATTTGATCACCTCCCTTGTTGCTACCATCAACACCAGTCCCTATGAAGCCAGACCTTCCACTCCTTGGGTCACCGTCGAGCCTAACACAAGCGGTGACTTGGAGTTCACCCAAAAGCTCTTTGTCGAGCTAAACTAGGAGTCCACCAGAGTCCCCGGCGGTGGGCTCCATGAGGACACCGTGGAAGCTGGTGTTGGCGACACGAAGGAGGAAGTCACCCCAGGCGGCGAGGATGAGGAGGATGCCGTGATAGACGATGGCCCACCGGAGCAAGCCACCGCGCCTCCTAGTCCTCCACCAAGCGCCTGAGCTTGGTGACAATCACCTTGATCGGGCCCTTTTGTCCCTGTACCACAAGGATTTCATCCTTACAGATTGGGATTCGTGCAAAGCCTGACTCGGTGATTTAGTCTAGGAATAATTAATTAGGGTTTTAAGAATTCCCCTTGTAAATCCACGTTTAAGCAAAGTTTATTAATGAAAAACTTTAGTCGGTCTATTTTTGCAATTAAATGTGTCTATACATCATGTGTATACAAAAAGACCAACAATTCCATCTTAGTTTCAGTTATTTGGTGTTTTCATGAGTCTTTCCACTCATCCCGTGTTGTTCGGGCCCTTAGAACTTGCTCATTTGTCAACCAAACACACGAAAATATCTAACTAAATTTATTTTCAAGAAAGGAATTTTTTTTGGAAAGTAAATGGAAAAATTAACTGAGAGATAATTAGGGGTGCTTGAAATCGAGGCGCGTACCGTGGTTGCAGGCAGTTTTTCGAGGATCGTGCTAGCCGTGCGGCCATTTAACACCTCATTTCCCTTTGGTGGGAACTACTGTTGCACCCTTTTGCATTTTCACATCTACCCACTGTCCTCCTTTTCCCCCTCAAGTTCTTCATCTCACCTGCGTCGCCATGGCCTCTGTCCAGCAGCAACCTAAGGACTCCATGAGTGCTTCAAGCCAGACGAGCGCAGAGAAGTCATAGTCATCCCAGCCTTCGAAGGTCGTGCAGCCCGATGAGTACTGGAAAACATCGACCACAAAGGCGAAGGACTTGAAGAAGCTGGGGGAGCGAGGCTTGCTCCTAGATGCATAGATCTACAAGTGGGTAGCCACCAAAGGTCAGGATCATCCCACCCCTGATACCCATCAAGTTACATTGTTTATTGTGCATTTCAAGTGTGGGTTTGGGGTCTTCCCATCTAAATTCCTAGAATAGATATGTAAACATTACAGGATTGAGCTCATACACCTACTATCGAACACGGTAGCAATGCTTAGCATCTTTGCCTTCTTGTGCGAGGCGTGGCTTGGGGTCAAGCCTTATTTGGATTTGTGGTGTCACTTTTACTCTGCCACTTATTATGCCAAGAATTTGGCCATCGGGTCAGTCGGTTTTTCCCTGAGGAAGGGAAACGACTATATATCATTCCCGATCAAGACTTTTTGGAAAGGATATCAAAGGAAGTGGTTTTACATTCAACTCCATGAAGATAGCCTGATCAAAGGTCAGGCATTGATGCCTGTATCCAATGAGAGGTGGAGATCGATCCCCCCTATGAATGAGAGAATGCAGAGGCATGTTGCGCGCATCCAGGAGCTCCGGATAGCTGAGCTTACCATGACGCATGTGGTGGAAACCTTTGTCAGGTGGAGGATTATTTCCTTGAAGCAGCGGGATGCAACCTACACCTACAAAGGGATCCTTGACCCGAACACGGAATCGACTGAAGGTTAAAACCTTTATTCTGAATATGGCTCATGTTTGAGAGCTTTTGTTTATGACTTTTCATTTCTAGAGTCTAATTTGTTATGTTGTATCAGAAGTGTCAGATGAAGGGATCGCCCAGTGAGTGAAGGACATCCCCGATGTTGCTCAGCCAGACTGGACTAGCGTCCCGCTGCCATACAACATGAAGAACCCTCCGCTACAGGAAAAGGCTGGATCTTTGTTGACTTGCTTCTTTAACAATTTTGATGTCTACTTACTTGTGGCATGCTAGGATGTTGTCCCCTTGGGCCTTGTTGCCGGGGGCATGGACATCAGTAGTGATGATGATAACCCTGAGCAGCCAGCAGCCAGCCCAACCTCTGAAGGTGAAGCAACTCAGCCAAGGGTAGCCTGAGCCACTCCGTCCACTCCCAAGCCAGACTTGGGTACACAGCAGAAGGCAACGCCCGATGAAGCGCAAGCTGAGGCAGGCGTATCTACAGAAAAGCCAGCCCCCGAGCCACCTTATGTTGTTGAAAAGAGGAAGACCAGATCACATGGAAGTGCGAAAGAACTCGAGCTGCCGGCTTCTAAAAGAAGCCGAGGTAAGTCCAAGAAGGAGGCGATCCATAAGTAAATGGTTAGTGGCTTTGATTATGTTCTCTCTAGAGTTCCACTTTCACGCTTTGTTGCTGTTTACAGAAGAGCTAAAACTCCCGAAGGTGCAACAAAGGCTACTATTGAAGAGCCTGGTATTACCCTGACCCCTGAGGCATTGAACTTGGTCTTGGCAACCAGTGCCTAGGCTCAGGGGGCCTAGGCAATATTCCCAAAGAGGAACCCATTTCCGCTACATGCTCTTATCCAATCGATGCAAGGCTTCTGTGATCTTTGGGAAGGAGATCTCAAAAAGGCCGAGCAGTCTAACTCAGACAAAGCTAAGCTGCTTAGGAGGTGTATGATCTTTTGGAGGGTATTGAAGGTATGTTTTGATGTAGTTTTGAAGTATGCCCGTTGCTTATCTGGACCTAACTTCTTATTGTTTTTCTTAGGCCTACACAAACATGTCAATATCCTAGAGAGGGAGAAAGCAACTTTGAAGCAGCAAGTTGAGGAGTTGCAAAAGAAGCTTGAGGCTGCCAAAGAGTGTCAGGCCATTGTTTAGGAGAAGCTGACCGAGGGCGCTGTCACTGCTGTTGAGCACGTGGTGGGAGTCATCAAGAGCCGCCAGCCTGACTTTGACCCGAGTGTCATACTACAAGGTTACAATTGTAGCGAGGCGGATGATGCTTAGCAATTCCTTGATGGAATCCGAGCCATGACTGCAGCTTTTGTTGATAGGCTCAGTTTCTTCGTTGATGACGATGATGATGAAGATGGTAAGTGAATTTTTATCTTGAATTAATCACCATGTCATGAAACATTAGTTCTGCCCTAGGACAATTTCTGTAATGTTGAACACATTATTGTTGCTTGTCTTTTAAGCACTTTAATTGGTCTGTGATCTTCTTTATTTGGTTTTGCTATGTGCCATATTCATTTTGATTGTAGGATTAGAGTAGCTAAGACTCGAGCGGTCTATAATACTGCTTCTCCTAGCGATTATGAATGTTTGGGCGTTCTAGCTTTGCCAAATTAGAAAATTTTAGATTAATAGACGTATATGTGTAGTAGCCCCCGACTCTTTATGTGAATAAGAGATTTATTCATATGAATAGTAAAGACTTATTAGAACATACCATAATCCGTGTTCCCTTTGTATGGTCAGTTAATTTTTGTCCTAGATAAAGGATAGTTGAACAACTGTCACTTCAGAATAGCCCTCGAGCCCTTAAAAGGGGTTGTACGATGCTACCGGCAGGCTCCAGCCCCCTGGCATATACAAGCCAGGGAGAAGGAACTGAAGCCATGACAAGGAGCTGGTAATTGTAGGGAGATTGAGTTATTTCCAACTCGGTCCATATTTGGATACTCCCAGACCAGCCTTTTTGATTAGCGAGGCCCCTGCCCATAGCTGACAGTAATTCTAGTTTAAAAGATAAGCATAGTACTTTTGTGGCTTAATGATTCTATCACTATAGAATGAACACTGCATAGAGTGTAACAATCCTCTTGTGACTATGTTTATTAGAAAAAAATTACGAGTTCCTAGATCATTCGAAGTCGAGTGTTCCGTCAAGCGCAATGTTCCTTCTCATGATGGGACTTCAGTAGAGATGAGTACTTGAGAGTCATTTGAGGTCAAGCACTCCGTCGAGTCTTTGGACCCTCGCGTGACGGTACTTCGATATTAGATGAGTACATCGATCAATTGAAGTCGAGCACTCCGTAGAGCGCAATGGACCCTCACATGATGTGTACTTCAGGATTGACGAGCACTTGAACCGTGTGAGGTCAAGAACTCCATCAAGCCTTTGGGCCCCCACATGACTGAGTGCTTTGGACTGTATTTTGTACTCGTCTGAGATCGGGTGTTGCTTGTTGCGTCAGAAGGTTCTCGCATGACCAAGTACTATTTGAATTAGGGTATATGCCACAAAAGTACTTTTTATCTTACTGTTCCTCCTCTTCAACTTGGATTTCCCCATATTTTATTTGCTCAAATCATAGTGCCCATGCATAAGACGTTAATTTGTGCGACTCGTATGCATAAATTCTTATTTTTGACACCATTTGAGCAAATTATACGAGTACTTGATTCACAAGGAAAAAATAGAAGTGTTCTGAAATGTAATGCTCTGGACATAAAGCTTAAAGCATTTGTAGACATGTAAGAAGATCTAGCCAAGAATTGACATAGACTTGGTAATTTATAATTGAACGAGAGGAGAGTTTCAAACTGGTGTACCTAGACCTTTGTGATCAAAATTGTTAGATGCTTCAAGCGATGGTACCTTTCAGATGTTGTCCTCTGTGTTCTGGACGTTCTACACCTCTTGTCCTTGTCGATGTAACGATAGATTTTCCCCGAGTAGAACGTCGAGACGTATCAATCGGGAACTTTATCATTTATAATTATGTTGAGTGCTTCGGTTGAGAATATATCCTCAACTTACTCTCTCGTGAGTGTCATAATTGTGTTCCTCAAAAATACTTAGCTTAAATCAGCCTTACACACAATATTGACAACAAACAAAAATTTAATATGAAACTAGAAGACATCTTTATTATTATTTCAAGGGTGTACACCGAAAGAAATTACAAATGTAGCCTAATCCTCATAATTGTTGAATATGCTACTTTGTCGATCTTCTAAAGGGAGACCTTGAACACATAGTAATCTGCAGCTAGAGGTTGAATCTACACCATTGCTTTTCCCTTTAATACGGGTCATCTATCTTCTGATTGTAGAGTTGTTCTTGGGGATCAACGTTTTACGATGAAGAGGGCACTTCTCTTTCTCTTTTTTTTCTTCAGTCTTCTCG